ACAGACACTTTTTTCCGGTCTTCCCGGTCTACCCACCTCAATGGGTACGCTGGGTCCTTTGGAGGACCCGGCCTGCCATTTTGGACACAGCTTTTGTGAGGGGTGGGTAGTAGCGAGGAATGGGGTGGCGGGGTCAGCTTGGATTGGAAGTAAGAACGTGGGGCTTTGAGGACAGGACATTATAAGATGTATCTTCTACCTGCTCCTTTTCGAACAGAAAATATAAAATTTTGCATGTCACACGGGCAAAATAATTTGTATTACATTTTATTTCTTAAGTTTGTTTCATTCTATTTTCTTTTTTTTTTTAATTATTTTAATGTCTGTTCGAAATAAAAGTTTGAAAAAAAAAGAAAAAAAAGTGGCCCTCAATGAAAATGAGTTTGACCCCCCTGGTTTAGGCTAAACGGATTTCAGCAAAGGGATGTTTTAAGTAATTTAATGTCATGCAATTACTGGAGTTTTCTTGTTTAATTTATTTAACTTATTTTTTTGACATTCCCTGTTTGATTTAAATATTCTGTTTGGGACTTTATTTTGCAGCACTTTATTCAACTCTGGTGAATTACTCTGAAAAATCCTCTTAAAAGTGATGTGAAAGTGAACGTGGCAGCCTTAGAATGCAACTAGTTTAACTTTTGATTGAATCATCGGCTTCACAATAGAGCTTTAACAGGCTGCAAGCTTGATGAGCAAATAAAACTCAGTTTGATCAATTCTGCTTTTGAAACTTTTCTGCAGCATTTGCTCACAGGAAATGAACAAATCTAACATAATAAGTAAAATAATAATAAGGAGCCTAATCAGACAGATTCTGTACATGGGTAAAACGTGAGGCGTTGAGTGTTGGAGATAAATCAGAGCTGCTGACGGAGACATGAGAGTGATGCAGAGACAAGATTGTTCACATCAGCCTGCTGCAGGTTATTGATGGGCTCCGACTGATGGGAGACACTTTCCATCAATCTCACATGATGGAGGAGCCAGTCCGTGGATTTAGGGACCAAATTATTTTAAGAAATGACATAAATGTCCATCAAGACAGACGATTGTCCTTACAATTAATTAATTAATCCCTGCTGTCATGTTGAGCATTTGCCTTTTTTCCTGAGAAAACTCCTCCTGCAGTCTGTTCGTGTGTATTTTTCAGAGAGCCGTATGAGGAGGATTTGACCGTCCTGGACAGAGCAGGTGTTTGTTTTTCTGTCACAGCCTACAGCTTGTTTCATCCCTTTGCCTCCATTTGCGACCTGTTCCCTGACCCCCTGCCCCCCCACATCCCTCATCCCTCATCCCTCATCCCTCAGCTCTCACTGGCTGTGCCACAAATGGAACCCAGACAGTGGAGCAGCCAGGCTGGACCGGGCCACAGAGGGAAGTTTTCTGCTAAGACCAGGCAGAGTCTCTGGACCTGGTAAACATTTTAATTTTCTCCTCAAAATCAGCCGAAGGTTTACGTATTTTTAGATATATAGATATAGATAAATTTATTTAAAACAAAGACAATATACAGTACACGTTAGTCATGAAAGGAGAGATGCACTGTATCATGTGTAGCTCTGGGCGCTAATTTCCACCTGTAGTCCCTGACCCAGCCCACACAATATTATAAAGATAAATAAAATATAAAATAACCTAAGAACAGCTGGATGCTATTCAAACAGAAAACATAATTAAAAAGCAGAAGAGGTGTCAAAAGTATTTATATATACAGTTTTACTCAAGTAGAAGTACAGATACTAGGGTTTAAAATACTTTTTTGGAAGTAGAAATATCAACTCAGGTTTTTTACTTGAGTAAAAATATGAAAGTACTGGATTTTAAAACTACTCACAATGCACAAACCTGCTTCACTAAAATAATTTTTTCTAAAGGCAGTAATGACAACAAAATATAATAAAATGTTAATGTTGAGTCTACCTGTTTTATGTGCATATATCTCTATCATCTTCATGCTAATACGCCTGATACGTCCTGCTGCAGTTTGATGTGATTTGTGTCAACAGGTATGATGGATAATGCTAACCAATAGGATGTCAAAATATTTATACTTCCCATCCAACCACAAGGAACTTCACTCTAACCAGGAGGCGCCTCATATCTGGATAGTTTTTTATTTTTATTTTTTTGGATGACAAGCTGAAGTGACATAAAAGTGAAATACATTTTGTATTTTTAAAATGTAAGGAATAAAATGTACAGATAATTACATGAAAATGTAATGAGTAGAAGTAAAAGGTGGGTTAAAAATAATTACTCCAGTCAAGCATAAATAACCCAAATTTCTACTTAAGTAAAGTATTTGTACTTCATTACTTACCTCTGCTTTTTTGCTTTTCTAAAGTGGGGTCTGTGGAAAAGTTAAGTTAAGCTGTAGATCTATCTATATCTTATTCAGATAAAACAGAGATTAGTTCTGACAGAGCCACATGGATTCTGTCATCCTTAAACAAGTTCAAACCCAAAAAATACAACTTTAAAATACTGTTTTAAAAACTTTTACATTGTTGTCAGGTTTTGTTTGAACTTTTTTGTTCTTCTTGCAGACATATAAAATAATAATGCCGGAAGTGACTGAGCTGCTGTTGTTTCGGCATTTAAATAACCATGAAGGTGAAATTAACAGAGGTGTAAAGGGTTAAAAAAGGAGCATGAATGGATATGAAATGTTTGAAAACAAACTTGCTGTTACCTGTCAGTTCATCGATTACAAATAGTGTATGGGCCATTTAAAGAGCCATCCACACCAAGTAAGATATTACTTGTTCGTAACCTTTTCCGCATGACCCATTTCTAAAGATCTGAAGTATTTTTTCGAATTTTTCCATTTTATCTTTAGTTTTCCCTCCCTGCTTCTCGGTCAGATCTCCACTTTCCTCTTAGTGTTGCTGTAAAACTCTTCCCTGGCCCCCCTCTCTCACACACAGGCTCCTCCTTTTACCCTTACTTAATGTCATTAACAGGTGGCTGTCTAAAATAGACACACACACACACACACACACACACACACACACACACACACACACACACACACACACACACACACACACACACACACACACACACACACACACACACACACACACACACACACACACAGCCAGGCTGCCGCTGACTTGTTTTCAAGCAGGCTGATGGGACTTCGGTCAGAGAGCGAGACCACCCTGAAGCACCTTTCCTCACTCACTTCAAATTTCAGCTCATGTTTGAAGCAGGAAGAGTTTTCTCTGCTGCCACTGAGCAACAGTTGCAGCTGAGGTGGGGGGTGGGGCAGACAGCGGAGAGACATTTAATCACCAACAACCAACCAGACTGAAGCCCCCACCCCACCCCTTTTTTTCTACCCTCATTTTCCAGAACTCTTATGGACCTCCTCCCCACCCCTTTTTTCCCTTTCACCAGCTCTCCCATCAGCACTCTGTCCCTTTATTAAGTTTCAAGCTTCTTTTCCTCCTGAGCTGAACAACAGGCATCAAACAGGTCAGATTTGTTCTTCATTTTTCACTCAGATGCACTAGTCTACTCTTGGCCTCTCTGACGTTGTCGACGGGGAAATTCCTCGTTTTTCACAGCCTTAAAATGCAGCAGCTTGTCCTTCTGCTCTACTCCCGTACAGTTTAGTTCATCTCATTAATAACCCAATAAATGAATGTTGGTGTCTGTTTTACATTTAGAGTTGTGCAGATCATCTGACCCCTCTAATTACCTGTGGTCAGTCTGAATGTAACCTGATCTGGTTTTGTGGTTCTGTGATGACTGACTTGGTAGTTAATGCTTGCATTCTTAATATTTTTTTTCACTTTGTGCAGGGAGTGGGTTTTATATACTGTATATGATCTGTTTTTTTTTTTTTTAACACATTTGCAATAAAAGTTGTGGAACTGGGTTGAATGCACAAAACCTCCAAAATGCAGTCAGTTGAACTGAAATAGCACACGGTTTTTTTGTTTGTTTGTTTGTTAGCACTATTTCAGAATCAGAGAACCAAAATGATGTTCTTTTAAAAGTAAAATTATGCCCCAATCCTGTTAAGATTTGAACAGTTTTGTGACGCATGCTGCCTGGCCAAAAAACCAGTCACACGCTCTAATATTTCATTGGATCACCTTTAGCTTTGATTACAGCAACACACTGCAGCATCGTTTCCACCAGCTTCTGCAACGTCACAACATTTCTGTCCAGAGTTGCATGAATTTTCTGCAGACATCTTGTGTTGATGATGGAAGTCTTCTCCAGGACATCCTCAATGGTTGTCTATGGGGTTCAGGTCTGGACCATCCTAAGACTGTCATCTTGGACCATCAAGGAAAAGAAATTGATGGAAGAACCTGGTCATTCAGGATATTCAGGTAGTCAGTTGACCTCATAACGTTTCTGGACCTAGACCAGACCACAGACTTGTACAGTAGGCAGTAAGATGAGTGCATCACTTCAGTCTCTCTTCTTACCCTGATTCTTATCCATCTCTCTGGAACAGGGTCGATCTGGACTCATCAGACTACATCTTGTTGGTAGCTGTTTATCTCAGTTAGCCTCACTGATCAGTGTTTTTTATGGCTACACAGCCGTTTAGTCCCAGTCCATTGAGTTCTCTTCGCACTGTGCATGTAGAAATGCAGCTGTGAGTTCTACTGTTGTCTTTCTACCATTTGATTTCACCAACATTTGAAGTGAGGACCAATCACAGTCATTCAAGATGTTTTTTTAACCACATTCCTTCCTTGAAGATGATGTTTTCCCAACTCTTCTTCCAGCTTTTAATAAAGTGTTGGACAGTTCTTAGTGGATTCAACAACCTCCATTGTTTTCTCTGCTTGATGCCCATAATCTGACCCCTCTGACACAGATTAACATTTCTCCACTAACACAGGAAGTCTTTCCACGTGCTTGTTTAAACTCCTCACTGCATCAGTTGGGGTTCAGTAACTTGGTGTCAGCTGAAACAGAATCATCCATGCAGTAATAATGAGAAGCTCTTTCTTGTTTGCTTAGTTAAATCCAGTTTTATTGTGCTTAAAATGTATCAAATACAGTATATAAAAATTAGCAGCATTGAGTTGGGACACAGGGCCAGGGGGCGGGGCTTGTTAGTGAGCACCTGGCCTCCACCAAGGGATCGCCACCTGCAGAAGGAGGGGTCATGATGTGTTTAACTTTTTTTAATTTTACTTTTTTCAAAGATTATCTGAGGGTTTCTGATCCAACTACAACTTTTAAAAATTTGTTGTCATGAAACAGTTTCTGTTTGAACTTGTTTTAATGTATTTGATTTAAAAAATGAACACATTCTGTTTACAGATACACACAACTTTATGTTAGTCCTTGGCTACGGTGGCTCACTGTGCCCCCCCCCACCCCCACCC